CTTTTTTGTCTTTCTTATCAACAACTGTTAAGTCTTGCGTGTTGTGTGGCAGGCGCTTGTCTGTTTGAATTCTAAAGTCCCAGAGCACTTTAGCTTCCTCATTTTGTATTACTTTGTTTTGTGTGGTCCCACCAGTTCTTGCTTGCAAGCAAACTGTATTTCTTGCAGATATTTTTATTTCTTCCAGATTATTGCAAGATGCATTTCTTGCAGATGATAATGATGATGATTTACAGTATTAAGCAAAATCTTAAGCCTTAATGTGAAGGCTTCTTCTTCTCCTCTTTCTTCTTGCCATAATATGCATAGCAACAGAAAAAGGCAGACCTAGCTGATTCCCCCCCCCCGCCCCCCCTGCACAAAGTGGAATTTAAGGACAGGGAATAAAGCGAAAACATCATTTCAGAATAAGCTCACCCATTAGGTTCACTATTCTTTCTTTTTTTCTTTCATATTAACACACGGCTCAGTTAAACACCTACCAGGAAATGGAGTTTATCAACTTGTGACTCCACAACTTAAGTTTGTTTCTTTAAAAAAGATGGGGAAAGTTACTTCATAGGTTGATATCTTATGCATTCTATCCTTATTCGTTTGCCTGAAACCTGTAATTCGCAGCGTTCCTATCTTGCATGGCCAATGGCTTAGTGGTCTGGGGATGTTGTGAGGCATTGTTTGTGTTGTTTGACGGCCACCATTCTGAGAATGCACCCTGTTTGGATGACAGATTTGTGACAAACACAAAAATTTCTAGTGGATGGTGTTTTCTCCAATGTAAGTTTGTGTGCCATCTGCTGAGACAGATTACCTCCCATTTAGCCTAGTGCTTGTCACTATTGAGAACCAGGATGTTGTGATAAAAATAGTTCTGCAGCATTTTAAAAAAATCAACCACCATTTCAGGACCATTCTAAAAAATTTTTTCAGGAATATTGAAAGTCCAAATCTTGGCGGGCGGATGCTGCCCTTTTTAAAAAGAAGCACCAATTGCCAGAAACTGCTTGTTTATTTATTTATTTATTATTTATGAGACTTATTTATGACACTTAAATGGCTGCCCTTCTCACCACAGTGATTCTGGGCAGCAAACAAAAGTTTTAAAAAAGCCACAATATAAAACTTTTAAAACATGCAATTCTAATTATATAATTCCAAAAAGAAATGGCAGCTGAGAAAAGAAACAATATAATATCAAACCACCCAGCTTCACTAACTTCATGACCCCGATGTCTGGGCAGACAACCATATTTTCTGTTTTTTCAGAAGGCCAGTAGAGTTGGGACTGATCAGATCTCAGGTGGTAAGATGTTCCAGAGGGTAGGCCCTATAATAGAAAAGGTATTCTTTCTGGTTCCCGCAAGATAGCATTCTTTAAGTGACAGGACCTGAAGCATGCCCCTCTTGCTGGATCTAATAGGATGGGTATAGGATTGGATGAGACCACTGGAGAGAGGCAGTCCGTTAAGTATCCTGGGCCCATGCCATGAGGAGCTTTATAGGTGATAACCAGCACCTTTAATTGCACCTGGAAGTCTACTAGGAGCCAGTGCACCTTGCAAAATAAAGATGTAACATGGGCAAATCAGGAAATGCTCATAATTGTCCATGCCATTGCATTCTGAACCAACTGCAACTTCCAGATGTTAAACTCCTCCTGGCCATGGCTGCTACATGCTTATGAGTCATGAGTCCAAGAGATCTCCAAATTTCAAACTGGCTTTATCTGGGGTAGTGCAACCCCATCCAGAACTAAAGATGGAACATCACCAAACTTGGCTATAAAATTTATCGCCACTCAGTCTTGCTAGAGTTGTACTGGAGCCTGTTCCTCCCTATCTAGACTCCCACAACCTCCAGACACTGGGACAAAGTCTCCATGGTATTGCTTGGTTGGCCCAAGATGGAAACGAACAACTGAGTATCATCTGCAATACCTCATCCCATGCCATTGAATAATCTCACCAGGGGCTTCATATAGAGCTTAGGTAGGAGCAGGAAGAGTGCTGAGCCCTGTGGCACTCCACAGGGCAGGGGCTATGGGCTGGATCTCTCCTCTCCTATCAATACCGACTGGAGCTATCCTGGAGGATGAAGGAGAAACTGGGCCAACCACACCTAACTTCCAAAGCCGGTTCAGAAGGATACCATGATCAATGGTATCAAAAGATCAAGAAGAGCAAGGATGGATGAAGTACTCCTGCCAGAGATCATCTTCAAGTGCAATCAATGCCATTTTTGTCCCATGCCTGGACCTGAAATCTGACTGAAAGGAGTCCAGATAATTACCTTCTTCCAGGGCTCTCTGCAGCTGCAGTGCAATCACCTTCCCTAACAAGGCAAGTTTG